GGGCCAACACGGGGCTGATGTTTCTGCGCCCAATGGCGGTGGGTATGGACATGAGACAATCACACCTGTAGAGGACTGCGCAGCAAATCCCAGTGTGGCTTAGAGCCTCTAAACCGCGAAAGCCCGCGACTTGCAGGCTGCTCCTGGGAGCCAGAAACCATGAGACCCCAGGCATGATTCTGATGGCTCTTCACCCCCCAAGACCTCAAATACCTAGTCTTTAGGCGAGGGCTTGGTAAGAGGAATCAAAGGACCCCACGCCAACCTTCTACTCCAGATGCAGCCACGGCAAACACATCAACCGTTTCATTGCCAGCATGTCCCACAGATGGCATGAGTGCTGAAATGGGTTTTACCAATCTTTCTGCGTCTTCATCTCTTTTGAGTGTGTTCATGGTGAGTGCCGACCACCAGACGGTTGGGCACTGCTAGTTGGCCGTGAAAGTCAGCAAGCACCTGCACAGGTGGGCTCTCGAGGGTTTACGTTTGATTGCTAGCATATGTCTGGTGGCTCGGGCTTAAGACATGCGCCACGCCCTCGCGAACGAGTTGAACATTCATGAATGGATGTGAAGGGCTCAATGCGTTCCGCAGAATTTGGATGTGCAACGGCTCGAACAACGGATCGCCATCGGTTGCCAAGTCATGCAACCCGTTTGGGGTGTTTTTTGGTTTAGCTTTCTATGACCCGAGTGCCATGACCAAAAGATGTTGGCCCAGCTTAGAGGCAGGTGCAGTTCAAGTTTGACTATTTTCTCGCTCAAAAAGACGCGGGCGGCTGTGATCCTAAGCCATCTGTGGTGAGAGGCCAGGAGGGAGGGAGGTGTCCCTTCTGGTTTCAGTTTGATTGCAAATGGATGGAACTACACACCGTTTTCAGTCTGCTTCAGGTATCCGTGCTATCTATCTTCGCAAAGTGACACTACGGGTGGGAGGCTTGGAGGGTTCACAGCACTTGGCGTCTGAGATTTCATGGCTAACGTATCTTGGACAAAGCATGGGCACGCTCCTCTATTTTTGAGCCACTGTCATATGTAGGTGTTGCTTATCTGATTGTCAGCATGTCATTGGGTCTGCAAAAAGGAGCGCCAAAAGCGTCTTCCTCCGCAAGCAAAAGCCATGCCCTCTGGGCAGGAGATGCTTGGCACGGTACGCTATGCCAAGGCCAGGCCTGAGTTGATCCGTACATGGGTACGGTTTTGTCTGCGGGTACTCTTTTTGGGCTGGTTTTAACGGGATTGTAGGGAACACCGCCAATGTTGGAGGTTTCGCCATTTTGACAAACCCACATGTACTCTGGACGCTGGCTGAAACGCCTTGTTTTTTTCTTCGAATCATCAGCATGCCACCTGTGGCGAGTCCAAATCGTAAGCCTAGGGACTTGGGTTGTGACATCACCCGGAGACCAGGGACCGGTTGGCAAGCTGTGAGTCACCCAGACGTTTACTAGATTCATTAACCAGAAACATGTTCCTTCTTTCTTTCTTTCTTTCTTTCTTTCTTTCTTTCCTTCCTTCTTTCTTTCTTTCTTACGTATTTGATTCTTTCGTTCGGTCTTTCCGTATTTCCGCCTTTCTGTTTTGCTTTGTTTTGCTTTTCTGCCTTTGTGCGGTTCTGTCATGTTGTCCTTCTGCCTTTCTGTCTTTCTTTCCTTTTTCCATTCTTCCTTTTTTTGTTTTCTCTCTCTCTCTCTCTCTCCCGGTCTCTTCCACTTTCTTTCGCACCTTCTGGGACATATGAGCCAGCTACACATGGGCGGCGGAGTACGTGTTTGTTTCGCGCTGAACCCAGCCAGGTGCCCAAGGAGGAAGCGGTGTCTTCGACCAGGAGGCTGGGCAGCGGATTTTTGTTTGGTGGGGCAACTTCCCCGAGACATGGGATGGAATCCCAAGAAGGAGAGGGGGGTACTTGTTTGGGCTGGGTGATTTTGCTTCTTTTTCTTCTTCTTTTTTTTGGGGGGGGAGAGGGGTGTTTTTTTTCCCCAACAGCTGAAAGCTTTGGGGTCTCACCCAGATAGGCTCCGGGGTGGTTTGGGGCGACCCTGAGCTAAGGTTCCACCAGGGTTCCACCAGAGGTTCCACCAGGGTTCCACCAGGGTTCCACCAGGGGTTCCACCAGGGTTCCACCAGGGTTCCACCAGAATTCCACCAGGGTTCCACCAGGGTTCCACCAGGTTCTGCAAGGGCGGGGTGGTCTGGGGTGGTTTGAGGTAAGGTTCCACGAGGGTTCCACCAGGGTTCCACCAATTTCTTCGAGGGCTGCGGGTTTGAGGAAGGTTTCACAAGGGTTCCGCCAGGGTTCCACCAGGGTTCCAGGCTGCGGGGTGGGCTGGGTGGTTGAGGTAAGGTTCCACGAGGGTTCCACAAGGGTTCCAGCAATTTCGCTGGGGTGGTCTGGCCACCAGATTTCCACCAGAATTCTGCCAGGGTTTCGAGGTAGGGTTCCACCAGGGTTCCAGCAATTTCGCTGGGGTGGTCTGGTTTGAGGAAGGTTCCACGAGGGTTCCACCAGGGTTCCACCAATTTCAAGGGCTGCGGGTTTGAGGAAGGTTTCACAAGGGTTCCGCCAGGGTTCCACCAGGGTTCTGAGGGGTGGTCTGGGTGGTTGAGGTAAGGTTCCACGAGGGTTCCACCAGGGTTCCAGCAATTTCGCTGGGGTGGTCTGGTTTGAGGAAGGTTCCACAAGGGTTCCACCAGATTTCCACCAGAATTCTGCCAGGGTTTTGAGGTAAGGTTCCACGAGGGTTCCACCAGGGTTCCAGCAATTTTGTTGGGGTGGTCTGGTTTGAGGAAGGTTCCACGAGGGTTCCACCAGATTTCCACCAGAATTCTGCCAGGGTTTTGAGGTAAGGTTCCACGAGGGTTCCACCAGGTTTCCACCAGGGTTCCACCAGCCCGTCGTGCTCCGGACGAGGGTTCCACCAGGGTTCCACCAGTTTCTTTGAGGGTGCGGCGTGGTCCGGGGAAGGTTCCACGAGGGTTCCACCAGGGTTCACCAGGGTTCCACCAGCGGTCCCGGCTGGTTTGAGGTAATGTTCCATGAGAATTCCACCAGAATTCCACCAGGTTTTGCAAGGTAAGGTTCCATTCCAGCACGGTTCTAGCAGGGTCCCACGAGGTTCTGCGACACACGGGTTCCACAAGGCTCCACAATGCTCCACCAAGGGTGTGTCGTGCGCCCGTCGTCTGAAAAGCCATCGGATCAAGATCGCTTTGCTCATGGGCGGAACACTAAGCAAAACCGAAATCAATGGTTTTTAGCACACTTTCACTGTTTTGTGACTTGCTCACTTGCTCAGGCAAACGTTGGCTTTGTGGCAAATCAGATCACGTCGCTGCGGAACTCACGGTGCAGCAGAGTAAATGCTTGGCATTGCTGCTTGGTGGGCTTTGGGTTCCAAGAATTCCACGAGGCTGCGAGGGCCAGAAGGTTTCCACCAAATTCTGCAAAAGCTATGGGGCAGCCCTGGGGAAAGGTTCCAGCAAAGTTTCACGCTGAGCTCCACGAAAGTTGCGTGAGAACGGTTTGCGAGGTTCACCGATTGCACTGTCAGGGCCCGCCCGATTGCACCGTTTGGGCCCGATCGGCCCCAATTGCGCCATCGCGCCCCGATCGGGGCCCGACTCAGTCGGGCCCCGTCAATTGTACCAAGCTGGCGTCGCCCAGTTTTGCTATAGATACAGTTGCAATCCGCATACTAAGGAAAACCGGGGTTGAGCTATAATATGGGTGGCTGGGGTTGCACCACAGGACGATCGGGGCCCGATTGCACCGTCGGGCCCCGATCCGATTGCAACGTCGGGCCCCGATCGGGCTGCACCGTCGGGCCCCGATCGGGCCCCGATTGCGCCGTCGGGCCCCGATCGGGCCCCGATTGCGCCGTGGGGCCCCGATCGGGGCCCGACTCAGTCGGGCCTGAGTCGGGCCCCGTCAATTGTACCAAGCTGGCATCGCCTAATTTTGCTAAAGGTACAGATGCAATCCGCGTGCTAAGGAAAACCGGCGTTGAGCTATAATATGGGTGGCTGGGGTTGCACCACGGGACGATCGGGGCCCGATTGCACCGACGGGCCCCGATCGGGCCCCGATTGCACCGTCGGGCCCCGATCGGGCCCCGATTGCACCGTCGGGTCGGGCCCCGATTGCGCCGTCGGGCCCCGATCGGGCCCCGATTGCGCCGTCGGGCCCCGATCAGGGCGAGATTGCGCTGTCACTTTGCTTTTACAAGGCGGCATCCTCAGCAACACCGGCGGTAAGGATGGTCCCGGGGCGTTCCGCGAGGATTCTGGGAGGGTGTGGTGCTGTTGGGGATATCGCCCGAGCTTATTTTTTTTTTTGGGGGGGGGGCGGGGGGTTTGGTTGATGTTGCACAGTGCAGCTTTCTGATTGGAGGGGCAATCAATGGTTGCCGTTGAGGAGCGTTCAGTTGTACATTGCACTAGTACTTGTGTGACCCTGGTTTGAGCCTTGGTGCCTGCAACTGGGTGCTGGGTGCGTCCAACTCAGAAGCCCCATTGGCTCATGTGGCATGAGGCTGCGGTTAGGTTCAAGGCTCGCATCTTGCTCTAGGGCCAAGAGTTCCCATTCTTCGGCAACACTCGTCGCCTGAACCCATTGGCGTGCAAGTGGGCCGCTGTCGCCTGGAGGCTCTTGGCTTCCATCAGATCTTTGTAGGGGCAGGGCCAAGCAGAACCCGGCCAGTGCGCAACGGGGAAGACACACAGGGAAATTGGAGATCGATTGCAATCCAAGCAGACACTTCCGGAACGCGACTTTTGTCCCAGCATCCGATGAAACACCAAAGCGAGGCCGTGGAAGGGCACCTGATGCGGGGCATTTGGGCCTCCGTTTTCCGCCAACAAGGCAATCTCCAGGTGTGCAGCCAACAAAACAAACAAACAAGTGCAGCAAGATCAAAAGTGGAAGGAGCCAAGAAGCAACGTCAAGCCTTAGACCAAAGACGTCTTGACTTTCCAGCCCCTGTTTCCTTTCGCTCCATCATGCGGGCGTTTTTCTTGGCGCCCTTGGTGGCGGCCGCGGAAACTCCGCTGCGACGGGTGTCCTTGGCCGAGGTGGACCCGTTGGCACTGTGTGGCTCGGTGGGTTTGTTGCAAAAAGGGTTGTAATTTAGGTACAGTCCCCATAAAACAGGTAATAAACTGGATATAGGCAGGTTCATTTATTTTTTTGCTGAATGAGGGTTTCAGGGTTGTTTAGCCCTATTCTGATTGGTTTTTGGTGGGACACCCACAGGAGAGCCCTTTCTGGGCGGTTCCCAGCCATATGGTTTTAAGTCAGACTAGCTCTTTATCACGCACCCCGGGTTTGCTTTGAGGGTTGTACATGTTGATTTCCTGAGGGTTCCCTTTTCAGGTTGGCAAGGGAAAAGGGAAAGCCACCATTTCGACACCCAAATGGGGTAGCCTCCTAAATTGACCCCACCGGCGGCTGAGTCCACATGAGCCACTGACAAACGTACTGTCGGGACTGTCAGTTTGGGGAGGATGAGGCGGGGGGGGGGGGGCACTTCCGCACAAGCGGGCCCACCAAGTTGTCCCTTGTGCTATTGGGGCAACCATTTTGCTTGGGGGTCACATGTGCCACGATCAAAAGACCCTTTTAATTGCAGAGATTGATGGTGTCATGCCCCCTCTAGGGAGTTTAGACAATCATGATAAACATTCCTAGAAAACCACGACGATGCCCCACCTGAGATTCATTCACTTCTAATCAACCACGGCTTCTTTCAATAAACTGGGATCCGTTCAAAGCTTCCCTAGGAAGATGTTCAGAAACTACACGGGACAGCTGCCACACGCGCTTGGGCACGAAGGTATGCAACCGCCTCCTTACGGTACCTTGCCTCTTCAGTTTACATTCTTGAACAAACTAACTTGAACAACTCTGCGTTGGGTGTCTTCATCATTTATGTCAAGCCCCACCAACGTTCAGCACCTTTGCTGGCCAGGCTCAGAAAGGATAAGATGTTGGCTAGGGTTTGGTGCTGTTTCCGCCCTCCCAGGACTCCGTGTGGGTTTTGACTTGATCCAAACGGACCATGCGAGTTTGACGCGTCTTTTCGGAACTCCCTTTTCATCCTATTCCCCCCTCTTTCAAATACTAACCAAGGGCGATGGGCCCATATGGGTCTGCTTGTTTTCAGGGACCCCCACTCATTGCGATTTTCTTTTGGCTTTCAAACAGAGACCTACACCTCCCCCCCCCACTCCCTGCCCGAGAACACGCTTCAATTCGGAATTCGAGGCACGGATGGCAGCCCTGCCGTGTACTACTGGAAAGCCTCGGAGACCAACAGCCCCTCGATCCGGGTCGATGTGCCGAAGCAAGTTCCGCAGCCAAAAGGGTACCCTGAGAAGAACGGTTCCACATCCATGGTATTTGGGGCTTCTGGTGGTGAACATCGTCATTTCTATTGCAAAGCGGGTTTCCTTTCTAGGGGTGATGCTTAAAGGGAAAATTTCGGGAGCCCTGTTCTTGGTTCCAAAGGACCGCAAAACAAGAACCATGTTGAACACCATAGCCAGAATTTGACGTCATTTTGTTCTGAGCAACGCTGGAATTTATTGGGTAGTCTATGGTTTGTTTGGCAACTTACTACAAGTTCCCATGTCTTGGGGGACAAAGGGTGGTATCCCCCAACAGCACCACACCCGTATGGGTTCTGCAGACGCCGAAGGTCCTGCTTCTGCAGATGTGGAAAAATCATAAGCACCCCCGTGGTCCCCGGAACACTTACTTGCGGCACTGCAACCCGCCCCAGACCACTCCAGCCATCCCGGACCCCCTGGCGGGGGTTCCTCGCGGAACCTTCCTCGGAACTCAGCGCCGCCCTGGACCACCCCCGACCCTGCCTGGGCTGAAACCCCATCGCTTTCAGCTGTTGGGGAAGTATCGTGTCAAGAGCATCCTCTGGCGGCGACGGTCGGGGTCAGCAGCGGGCCAAGGTCGAAATGGTGCGACACAGGCTGCAGGTGGCAAAGCACTGCACAACCCTTGACGTGTTTGACCGAGTGTGTGAGTGCGCTGATTGCAAACCACAAACCTCAGACTCAGATATTTGCTGAAAACCTCCAGATCCTTACACCTAACCACCTTCCTTGAATGTTACACTTGCTTTCTTGAGCCACCCCCACACCTGATCTGGGCTGAGACCCCTTAGCTTTCAGTTGCTGGGGAATTATCATGACTTGTCAAATTCCCGTGGTGGGGATTTGCATAACAACCGCCGGCTTTTGAGGGGATTGCCACGCAGTGCAAACATGCGTTCCTACCACCTGAGCACCACCAAAATGGTTCCGAACCACACCAAAACGATCCGAATCCTTGTAAAGCCGGTGGCTTCTTGGCTGCATCCTACCGGCAAGTGGGCTTTCAGTGAGGCAGCACCTGGGTGGTGGACCTGGAGGGCGGCGGCTGGTGCGACAGCGCCGCCGACTGCGACGCCCATTGCGCGGAAAAGCCCTGGCTCTGCAGCTCAAAAGAGGCACCGAGGATTCGCTTGGTCTCGAAACTTGGGGCTCCTCCAAACGGAATGTGTCAAATATATTTTAGGGTAGGCTAAAGTGGGAGCAGAATCAATTTGTGTTGTTTTTTGTTCTTTCTTCGGTGTAAAAACCCCAGATGTGGGCCAAGAAAATAGGGTAACCCTGTTGGATGGTTTCAAAGGAAACCACAAGGAAACCTGGAGGAATTGGCCCAACTTGAGAAGCGACCAAGGGGCACTGTCTCGGAGATCTCCAGGGGGGGTGGGTTTGAGCAAGGAGGCGCAACGACCAGAAACAGAGTGCCGTTCTTTTTTCCCATGTTGAAAGGACGTTTGGACGCCCCCTTTAGGCAACCAAGCAGGTTGCACAAACAAACCAGGTCAGTGAACATACCATTTCCTCAAAGTTGGTGTATTTTGAGCAAAGTACATTATTCACCGTAGCAATCAAATGCAGCTTGTAGCAAGCTCAGTTGCAGGTTGGCTCCTTCTGAACCTAAGCCATGGCGACTTCTTTTCAGGGTTTCTGCCAAAACACTGCCCGCTTTTGAAGGGGAACTCCGGTTTTGCCCTGTTTGGTCCATCCGAAGCTCGGGGGCTCCTAAGGCCGAGCCTCCCAAGCTCCTTCGAGATTCGGGCGGTTCTTTCTCGCCAGGCCCCGGAGACCTTGGACAAGGGCGGGCTGTTGGGGGACCAGGACTTGTTGCGCGACGCCAACAAGGCGGTCCGGAAAAGGGTCGGCTGGTCTGCGGGTAAGAAAGAAACAAAACGGGGGGGAACTCGTTTTATTCCGTTGGCAGTTTCGGGGGGGAACTGGGACGTGGGGCATCTTAGATTGCCCTTGACTAAATGAAGAACTATGATAAATATTCAAAATTCAACTCAAGCCAAGGGACTCCTTCCAAAACAAGTAGGGCGTGAACAGTAGCTTTTGGGAGCGGTAAGGAACTAGCATCAGTCTTTGGGAAGGCCACTTAGTAGCAGCGGCACTTCTCTCATTTTTTGGCCGGGCGTTAAAATGGGACAAACTGGTCCCCGGAAGGGGGCGGCTTTATGGGAGGGCCTTCAACCAAAAGTAGGGAACCCTGTGAAACTATGGGGGTGGCCCTGCGAAACTATGCGAACTGTACACTAATCACCAGGGTGGCTGATCTCCATTATAGTTTCCATTTGCTTTGTGAGAACCAACAAAAGCGAGAAACGTCGGAAACTATGCCAGGAGTTTCAAGTCACATGTAAAATGGATCGAAGGGCTACCTACCAAATCTGTTTCGCTGGGATCCACCTGGTACGGGGACGGCGCGGTTGGCCTGGGATCCACCGGATCCGGGACGCTCAAAAACGTCGTTCCAGGCCTTCCTCCGGTACTGCACGGCGGACGCCCACATGGGCGACGGCTTCGCCTTCGGGCGCCACTTCCGGGGCGCCCGCGTGGTGCAGGCGAGGGGAACCGGGTGCTTTGGTGAGCTGGGGCCAAAAAGTGAACTCCGGCGCGGACGAAGACCATGAAGGTCTGGAGGAATTTCTGACTTCCGGTTTGTGAATGATAGGCCTGTGTGCATATTTGCGCTGGCCACCTCTTCACCTCTTTCCAGTTCGCCCCAGTTTTTCCATGTGGGGTGTGTCTCGAAATTGGTGGTCCCCTAAATAACATTTTCCTCCTGGTTTCCCTTTACAAAGCCAACACAGGCGAGGACCCATAATTTGAGGCCCACTTTCTGCAATACCCAGAGTCTCTCAGAGAATGTCTCCTCAAATCATGGATGATCAGCTTTGGCATAAGGATGATCTCCACATGGGCATCACAAAAGACTGCGGTGTCCCTTGGGTTCCCCTTAAAAAACACACACACAAAAAAGAAAAGAAAAATAGAAACACATTTTCCTTGGGTTCCCCTTCAAAAGACAAAGCACAAACAAAGAAACAAAAACAAACGAGAAGCCCAGGCCTTTGCCTGAAAAACGCACCACGAAGTCCCCACGTTGACCCCGGCCAGGCGCTTCTCCGGCACTTGGCCTCGGACCTAGGCCTGGGGCGCAGAGCCTCGCTGCTGCTGCTGGGGGGCCAATCCGCAGGCGCCCGCGGCGTCATGGCCAACCTGGCGCTTCGGACGAAGTCGCCCAAAGCGGGGACCAAGACCTGTGGGAATTGGGGTGGACATCGTCGGGACCGTTCACGTGTGGAAAACCGAGGTGGGAATTCGAGCAAACTGTGCATGGGAGGTGTGTGGTTTTCTGTTTTAGGAGATTCGACTCGAGAAGGGCGACGATGATTCTGGCGGTTTGGAGCGAAACGGATTCCGCTGCCACTGTTAGAGTAATTTGGGCCTTGCGGGAAGATTGGGGTCCTGGCAGGGGTCAAGCTTGAATTGGCTAGGCTATGTGGCAGTGAATTTGAAACAAAATAAACCCTCAACATCGGTTGGTGGGCCTACACGTTCGTGCAATTGATGTCCATCAAAAGGTCCCCCAAATGTGATTCTCCACGCAAGAAAAAGATCACTCACGATGGCTGTGCCCAGCTTACCCCAAGGGCTTTGAGCTCATGTGCATGTGCGAATGTGAGATACACTCAGTACTCATTGGCAGTCTGGGTTGTGAGAAGTGAGGGGGGATGAGACATGGGGACCCCGGATTAGTAAACCCATCCTCAAATCGGGTGTCACCCACTAAAAGTGAAGGACTCCTACAAGAAGGGAACTCCCCCTACTACTTGGCTAGTAGGTCTCCGGATACCGGACTGGCCTACCCTGCTAGTGAGCCAGTGTTAGCTAGTCAAGGCCTAGAAGTCAGGCGATCACATTGAAGAATGTGAAACTCATCCTACAGTACGTGGCCACCTTGGTTGGTGGCGGCTTCACAGGAACTAGCATAACAAACAGAGCCTGTCTTGATGTTCCCTTGACTTGCTTTCGTTTTCCGGGGTACACAAAAAGCACCGGTGCTTTTTGTGATTTTCCTGGGAGGTTTCCTCCGGTCCTGGAAACAAATCGAGTGCCGAGGACTACGTGCCGGAGATGTTGGGGGCGACTGCGCTTGTCACGACGGTGGGGTTCCTGGATAGCCCGCTGTGGATCGACATGCCGCCCATGCCTGAATCCGGGTTTATCGGGTTCAACAACTCCTGCCGCCCCTCGCTTGCGCTGGGTGTGGGTGGGTTGGTGGGTGGGTGGGTGGGTGGGTGGGCGGGCGGGCGGGTGGGTGGGTGGGTGGGGGTACACCATTGAGAGATCTCCGAAGTTACCCTGCAGCCTTCTTCATTTGGTCACGGCCTGTATGCCAAGCATCCTGCTCACCCTATCAATATGAGTGTGAACTGTTCATCCTCGCAAAGCAACATGTTTTCCAGTTGGTTTACCTCGTTGAAGGGTGCCGAAACGGGTCGTTTCTTAGGACGTTCCTATGCCACTCACAACATAGACCCCGGAAAATGGGATCATGGGACCGCAGCAAAGCCGCTTTGTAGAGGAGCTTCTTCTTGGGCGGTTGCTTGGGTTCGCGTTGATCTTCAGGAAGCCCGTTTTTCGAGCCCCAATGGTTGGGCCTTCGGACCGGTCAGATCATCAGGTTGGGGCCTTGGAACATCGAACAACACAGGCCCCCCCCTTGAAGGGGGAGGGTCATGTGGACCTTTGATTCATCAACTTGGATTGTTCATGGCGGATCTTCCCACAAAAGTGAATCAACGGAGCCCCTGAACTTTTGCTTTTACATGGGAGAGCCTCTCTCACCTTCGGTTGCACGCCCCTTCTTGGATGTTTTTGAAGGGAACAACGAGGCAAGCGAAGCATGGTTCTGGGTAGACCATTTTAGTACCAGGTTTGATTATGACTCACCTGCATATAGTTTTCTGGAAGCTCGGGCATGGCTTTGTGCCGCGCACTTCGATCTGGACGACTGAAACGCACCGCAGATGTGCGAATCGCACTGGGCGATGCGAGAGGTTTTAGCGCGCGCTCGTTTGAAAGCCGGCCAGCACGGAAGCGAGCAACGGTTGCACGGGACACTCCCGGAGCAAGCGGAGGCAAACAAGCTGAGACTTTGGATGTGAAACGTCTTGCCAAGAGCTACGCTTTCAAGATTAGCAGCTATGCAAAGCAAGCATCATGGCGAGATGCATGCTGGGTGCTGTCAGACATGCCTCAGGCAAAGGTGAAGCCGGACGTCATCATCTACAACGCAACCATCAGTGCTTGCGGGAAGGGCGGGCAGTGGCAGCAAGCTTTGGCCGTGTTTGGGGCCATGCCTCAGGCAAAGGTGAAGCCGGACGTAATCAGCTACAGCGCAGCCATCAGTGCTTGCGAGAAGGGCGGGCAGTGGCAGCAGGCTTTGGGCATGTTTGGGGCCATGCCTCAGGCAAAGGTGATGCCAAACGTAATCAGCTACAATGCAGCCATCAGTGCTTGCGAGAAGGGCGGGCAGTGGCAGCAAGCTTTGGGCATGTTTGGGGCCATGCCTCAGGCAAAGGTGACGCCGGACGTAATCAGCTACAATGCAGCCATCAGTGCTTGCGAGAAGGGCGGGCAGTGGCAGCAGGCTTTGGGCCTGTTTGGGGCCATGCCTCAGGCAAAGGTGACCCCGAACGTAATCAGCTACAGCGCAGCTGTCAGTGCTTGCGAGAAGGGCGGGCAGTGGCAGCAAGCTTTGGGCTTGTTTGGGGCCATGCCTCATGCAAAGGTAAAGCCGACCGAAATCAGCTACAATGCAGCCATCAGTGCTTGCGAGAAGGGCGGGCAGTGGCAGCAGGCTTTGGGCATGTTTGGGGCCATGCCTCAGGCAAAGGTGAAGCCGGACGTAATCAGCTACAATGCAGCCATCAGTGCTTGCGAGAAGGGCGGGCAGTGGCAGCAGGCTTTGGGCTTGTTTGGGGCCATGCCTCAGGCAAAGGTGAAGCCGAACGTAATCAGCTACAGCGCAGCTGTCAGTGCTTGCGAGAAAGGCGGGCAGTGGCAGCAAGCTTTGGGCTTGTTTGGGGCCATGCCTCATGCAAAGGTGAAGCCGAACGTAATCAGCTACAGCGCAGCCATCGGTGCTTGCGAGAAGGGCGGGCAGTGGCAGCAAGCTTTGGGCTTGTTTGGGGCCATGCCTCAGGCAAAGGTACAGCCGACCTTGGCCAGTTACAACGCCGTGCTGGATGCTATCTTTGACAAGTCGCAGGGGCCTCCTTGTTTTGATTGTGGAATTTCAGCAAATGTTTTCCCAACGCTAATGAATGCCACCCCACGTATCATCGACCTTCATGAGCTGTCCGAGGGAGCGGCTCAGCTAGCAGTGCGTTGGTGGCTGGCAACTTTGGTGGCGCCAAGTATTGGCAAAGGGTTGCGTGCGTCTGAAGTGTGCGAGTGCATCATAATTACAGGATATGGCAGGTCTCGCAAGGGGTGGGCCACATCAGATGTCCAGGCGGCTGTTTTGAACATGCTGCGGACCCTGAAGCTTAGCGCAGGAGTCCTTGAGATCAATGCTGGCCGTTTGCAGCTGGTGCTCCGGAAGTGTAACATGCCGCTGCTGCAGCAGTGTGTCAAACAGCAAGCAAGACGCAGAAAAGGGGATGTGAGGAGACCACGGTTGTTCCTTTCCTGAAATGAAAGGACTCAGGTACTTGTCATACTTCCTTTTGCCCCTGAGACGTCATTCTCCGAGTGCTTCTCAATATAGTATGTAAAGGTACTGCATTTTTTTTTGGACATGTGCGCCGTGCCACAGTCGCGGAAGGGCGCGGAAGCTTCGCGGAAGGATTCTTGAACCAAGAGTCTGCACGCGCAAAAGGCTGGAGAGAACCCAACGCACAGGATCCCCAAACGCGGAAATTGCAACATGGAAGCTTCGCGGATCGTGCGCAGAAGCAGAACCGAGGCAGCTCAATGTGAGAAGGGCAAAGCTCGGCGAACACGACAAGTAGCGGCAAGAACAGAAGCAGCAAAACGGGTCACCTGATTCAGGACATATTGTTGGACCCTCTTTATACCCCCCCCCCCCCCGTAGTGGAAGTAGTCAGCTGGACCTCTTTAGGCAAAATCCTGGGGGTCTGGGAGGGACAGTACTTACTTTCGTATGGCCAATTCTGCTTTAGTATTGCCAAGGCTGACTCTCAAGTTCCCAGTACTGACTGCAGCATGCCAACTGCCAATCTGATGGTTTGGGAACCACTTCAAAAAGGAATTCCTAATGTTTGCCCGGATTTGTTTGCCCGTTTTTGTCCGACTTTTTTTGGCCGGTCGTTGTTGCCCGGATTTCTTCCCGGCATTTTTCCCGGAACAAGTGCCACAATTGAGGACCCCAAAACAGTCACAAGATCCTGAATTGCGGAAAAAACATGCCATGAAAGAGGGTACTGTTAATTAAAAAGATGTAAGATTACCCACCAGGGTTCCCATGCAGGGTCAAGGGACCATCTTTTAGAGCAGGTAGCCCTGTTTTTGTTGACTGTTTCAGTTGGCCAATCCACTGAGTGACACCTCGTGCCCCCTGTGCCATAAACACTTAAAACCTACTTGTAGCCTCTGATTCCCTAGAAAACAGTTCCCAAAAGACAAAGTTTGCAAAATCGACCACAAGTGTCTACCACCACCCCGTATTCCTGGTTCTAAGTGTCCACCACCCCCCGTATTCCCAGCTCTCACCCCCGACCCAGCCCACCCTCACCACCCCACCACCACACCACCCCCCACCCACCCCAGCCCTCCAGCCCTCCAGCCCTCCAGCCCCCCAGCCCCCAGCCCCCAGTCCCCCATCTCATCACCCCACCAACACCCCACCACCCCTGGCGGTTTTTCTCTCCGAGGGAACGTCTACAGCTTCGCCAACGTCTCGCGCCTGGGCGCGCAGTGCCGGGCCTTCTACGCGGCGGAGCCCTGGAAGTGCCTCATGGGGCAGTACCGCATGGCCTTCCTGAGGCCGCATCTCGCGGCCTTTCGAGATGAGCCACGTGCTCAAAACCCGGGTAGAAGGATAGTAAGGGACCATTCCAGCCATAAATCGTTGCGGCCGCCTTTGTATTTCCTCACATGGTTCTGGGTCAACCATTTTAATACCGGGTTTTGATTGTGACTCAGATGCTCCCGATTTGTTTTTATGTCTGACATCCGAGAAAGATGTGCTCTGACCCCAGAAGAAATGGAAGTTGTGTTTTTCTTGGTTACCCAGATGGCCATGAGTAACTTGTCCCATTTAGCGGGAAATGGTTTTCGGGACCCAATGGTCATCCCATGACCTTTTGATCAACCCCCACATCACACCCCGGAATCGAAGTCGTTCGTTCGTGTGTGTGTGTGTGTGGGTGTTTTATGTTTTTATGGTTCTTTTTCCTGTGGGGCTTAAAGTGAAATGGAGGTCACCCAACAAGAAGGACGCTCGTTTTATTTGCTTGGGTGAAGCTGAAATGGATTCTCTGCAGGGGGTTAGGACCTCCACTGGAAGGTCACTGCCCCTGGGTGATGTTTAACGCCCTTCAAGGCGGCGTCACGTTTGGGGCTTCGCTTTGCGACGCCAGGGGTTCCATATTTTTGGTGGGTGAGTCGTAACTTCGCGGCTGGCACGGCCTTGCCAAGGTGGAGAGAAAGGACGGTGTGTAGGATAGGTTTAGGTCGGGAGGGTCGGTTGAGTTTTTGTTTAGGGCAGACAGAGGCCATGGGCGGAAGTTGAGCGAACGCCCACGAAGGTCCTTAGCTTGATCTCTAATTCCAATTCGTGCATAGTAGTTTGCCCAGATGTGATGAGACCTGTCGGTCTTCATGTAGGTACGTTTCTAAGTAGAGGGACCCAAAATGGGGTGGTTTGCCTTCTGATTTCCCTTTGAAACCAGCCTCTTAAACCACACAAATAGAACAACACACACGTCCATATTTCCTCCAGGTGATTTACACATCACCTTGTTGGGCAGTTAAAGGACTGAGGTTTCTTTTGGAAAGGTGATGTTTACAGGGGACATAAAAGAACCCGTGGCTTCCACTGTTCGCCATTTCTTCTGCCCCCAGTTTCTGGACTTTACATTTGCTAACACAATTTGGAGGGAACCAACATTTATAAATGGAGTTTATTGGGCTAATCATCCATTCTAATCATCTATTCGGACTCTGAGTTTGAGCCCGCGCTTTTTGTTGACAAGCATCTTTGACCTGACCCCTATGGGATGGCCTTCCTGATGATGAGCTATCCGAGGTTGCTTTTTCGGTCCCCTTGGACTGATTCGCCATTCTGGCTTCTTTTGACCCCTCTTTCCGAATGATCAATGCATGTTTTGTTATGTTGCGACCCGTTTGTCCATCGCCGTTTTGGTGATGGCGTGCGCGACTAATCTTGGACCCCTGTTTACAAGATTGTTGAAACATGTTGTTGTTCCATTTTGATAGAGACAAAGAGGATTCCTTCATTTCCAACCAACAATAAACTCCTATCTCAGGATGGCTCCGAGCCGTTCCACAAAGTTGACAAGAGTGCATACAGATTTGGCATGGTGTCCTTTGCTTTCCATTTGCCAGTACTCCTTTTGTTGGGTAATGTAAGGGGAACTATGAAATACGGGTCTGTGTTTCTTTTCAGGTACCCTTTTTAAGGAGAAGCCAGAAGGGCACCACCCATTTTAGGGGTCCCAATCCCTATTTTGACACACGTAGCAGCACAGACCCATACAGAAACCCCTGTTGACACCCATGTTTCTTGAACAAATATAATTTGGAACCCTCCCCAGTTCTCCGTTTGCGCCCAACATATAGATAACATAATATATATATATATATATTCACACTCTATATATATATATATACATATATATATATATATATTTATGTATAATATATATATATGCACGCAATCCCCAGTTTTCGAAGCTCCAGTTGAACTTGACCTAGATTTAACGATAGGACGCCTTACCTGCTGGTGGCCTCCCAGTTCGACAGCTTTCAGCTGAAGAAGAACGTGGGGCACCGCCCCAGCTCTTTCGCGGAGAAGGCCGGGTCCCTGGCCGGCTCGACCCGTGGGTGCCTGCACCCGTGAGTTTTGGGACACTTGGGTGATCTCCCAACAAATGTGGGGCCCGGTCTGAGTTTTTCAAGCGATTCCCGGTGGTTTTTTTGAGGCACCGACGGGTTGAAGCCATTGGGGTCTGAGAATTGTTCAAGTGATCCCAAGACCAACCTAAAGAAAGATTTCGGGTTCGGGTCATTTGGCTTGAGAGAGAGGCGCGTGCGTCTTCGACCCAGGCGTCGAGGAAGGGGCGCGAAAGCGTTGGGTTTTCTTCAGACCCGACCGGTTCTTTGGGGACCCCAAGAGGTCAAGTGAGGTCACCGTTAGTTGGTGGCTTTCGATTAGTGGTTTGTTTGCCGTTGTGTTTTTTTCTTGTTTTGTTCCCCCAACCTGTTTCTGGGCCCATGTGGGTTGCTAGCGGGGAGAAACGTCAGAAAGGGCAGCGGGGCTCCGTTTAACCTGCCACTTAGAGGTGACTTTGATAATGACAAAACACATGTTGCCCAAAAAGGTGGAGACTCAACAAGCAGGCGGGGTTGGAAAAACCAAGTACGACACCTCCCCCACTTGGTGACTCCCTAAATGGGTTCAATTAAGAAAAAGGCTGAGCAAAAACGTATGTTTGTCCTGCGAAAGAGATAGGAACTCGCTTGTTGCCTGTTCAACGGGTCCCTGATCAAAGAATTAGCATGATGTTCAACCACTCACTCCCTGAGTTGCTGGACTTCAAATCTTTCTAACACAGTGGCAATAGTTTTTCTTTTTGGCTTTCTTTGAAGCCGCAATGGACGTGGGACAAACTGAATGAGGATGCTGAAGACACCGGTTCATTGCCAATCTCAGAAGGGGCTCTCAGAATGGGTTCCTTTGGTTCCCTTCAGCACAGCATCTTTGGGCCACCGCCCTCCCAAACTAACCCATGTATGACATATGATATAGCATCATACAGTTCAATACAATGCAGTGCAATATGGTACATATCATGTGTATGCTGTCATATCACAATACTGTCATATCACAGACATGTTATTGCAGCTGGTGTTTCTGCTTTGCGTCGGATCAGGGACATTTTTCAAATCAAACAATTCTTTATCGAACCAACAAGAAAAGGGCATGAGTTGAATATATGGGCGATTCATGTACGGTGGTTTCCTGCGAAATTCGCAGCCAAAAGTTCCCCCTAGGTCTACTCGGAACACTTTGCGAACCGCACCCGCAGCCTGGTGAGGGAGCTGAGGACCCGGCTAGAACCGGTCAATTTTCGCCGAGTGATTAGCGGCTGGAGGGGCTGTTGCGACCTCAAAAGTTTGTGGCTCTGCGAGGTTCAAAGTTCCTCAACCAAGGAAGCCTCATTTCAGGTTGGTGACTTGTACTCCAGATCCTTGTCCTGTTTGCGGGTTGCTCCGGGCAAGACTGATTGGTCTAGTTGTAGTGGTCTCACGGAGCCGGGGTGCACCGTGCCTGGGAACAATGATGAATGTCCCTCAGGGATCTCTATGTCATGTTAGGAATCAGCGCCACAAAAGCATCGCTCATTCGTTGGATGATTTTTCTATTGCTTTGTGGCAAGAATGGATAACCATGCATGGACAAACTGTTCTTGAGTACGTAAGGCAAGTGAAGCCGGCAAACCTGCTGGCGTTGTTCTGGCGGGCCGTCACTTTTTCCCCGGCCAATCCAAACCACAGAGCGATCCGAGCTCATCCAAACCACGTCCTAAGTCCATGGCAGGTCCTGAGTCAGAGGAGCCTCATTTTTTGGTCCCCTGAAGAGGAGCTGAAAAGGAAAGCCGCCGGAAGGCTTGACCTATCTTGGCGGTGCCCTCTGGGACATCCTTGGCCCAAAGGAGTGGCTGGCCATTTTCCGGGGAGCAGAACGGCGTCTTCTCCTGGGCGCGCCGGCTGCAGCTGGTGAGATTTATTGCTGGGCTCCAAACAACGCCGAATTCTCGGCCACAAAAGCATCGGTTTTCAGTGCAATATTCACCCACAGTAAATCAGCCCCTGATGGGTTTATCCGGGGTTGACATTCGGCGCAATGGTTTGGGTCCTAGCTCATTGTTTGCACCTAACTTTAGTCTACCAAACAAATGCAACAAAATCCAGTTTTACTTTGAAGCACCAATTAGAGCCTCTAATTAGAGCTGCATGATCTCTGGTTGGCAGCTCACGAGAAAATGTTCGCTTTTCAAGGGGTAAGTGGTCCCTGCTTGTTTGGCGTTCCCAGCCGAAGTTTGCTTCCAACTACTCCAGCATGGGCATTCCTGTTGGTTTCCCTTGGGCGTGCCCCCAAAGGGCTCAAGTGGTTCTGTCAAAAGTGGACAACAGTTCCACTGAACGATGGGGTATCAGGATTGTCCTCTATCGGCCCATTTGTGTAGGTGTTTCTGTCTGGTTATAGGCCTGCAGAAGCCTTGCAGCCATCTTAGAACCAAACGTCGATGAACCTCTGCAAACATTTGGGCGCTCTCTGTCGGAGGTTCGGCCCAAGATCGGAGCCCCGTGGCGTAGGCCTAAGGATCTAAATTTGAGGCACGGCCAGGGGTGGTTTCTCTTTTGGCCGGTAACAAAACCCAACACCCTGCGTGGTATACAGCCCCAAATTGATTGGTTTCCCTCTTGCTTTCTTTTAGAACCAAGCACAAGGCTTTGGATCAACAACAAGTGCCAGACCATCTTCTACTGCCTCAGAAACCTTGGTGGATGGGTTTCTTCATGTTTTTTTTTTTTTTTTTTTTTTTTTTTTTTTATTATAGGTGGTAGGATGGTTTCTTCAAATAGGGCTTCAACTAGTTGCGAAGTCTTTACGCGGTGAAACAGCTAGGATGGATTTCTTCAAATAGGGTTTCATCCATGTGGCAGGATGGGTTTCTTCTTTAAAATGTGGTAGCTATCATGAGTTCTGAACAAAGACGCTCGCTTGCTCGAGGCCTGCTACTCCCATGCCACCAGCTTGGACCAGAGTTTTGAGCACATGGCGACCACGGACGGCACCACCTTGGCCAAGGCAGGTGCTTATGGGGTAGTTGAGGTTGGGGTTTGGGCGAGAACGGGACACAACTTCACAGCACACAAGTCGGGGACAGTAGTTTGGGGAACAAACAACACTTTGGGGAAGTGAACATGTATTCAAGTATGTCCCTTGTTCATATTTAAACAACTCTTTGTTCCATGTCCTTCAACACTTTGGGGAACAAACAACATGGTGGTGGGGGGGACCTTGCATGCTTGTCCAGGTGCTCCTTGAATGGTAAGGCCCTCGCAAGGGTCCCTTACTGCAGCCTGCCAGGCCCAGTTTACATGCCCTATCTTCTCAAGCAAAGGTGTCAAGGGTCAAGGCAACGCTTTTCGTCGCTGGTGACTGGGTGGCTCCATATGCTTGCGGTTCACAGTGTGCGTAAACTCTCTCTCTCTCTCTCTCGCTCTCTCTCTCTCTCTCTCTCGCTCTCTCCTCCCTCTATCTCTCTCTCTCTCTCTCTCTTTGTTTTCTTTCTTTGTTTTCTGTCTTGGTTTTCTGTCTTGGTTTTCTGTCTTTGTTTTCTTTCTTTCTTTCTTTCTTTCCTTCCTTCCTTCCTTCCTTTCTTTCTTTATCTCTCTCTCTCTCTCCCTCTCTCCTCCCTCTCTCTGTCTGTAGGGTTACCGGTTGGCCCCTGCATTGTTGAAAGATGGAATTATCTTTAAACAAGGGTGGAATGTTTAATGTGAATCCAACCTTGCAGTCAAGGTCACCAATTGGAATTATTCAAATTGCAACTTCATGTGTCCCATGTTTGGCACCCTTCATAGGCCTAGACCACTCCCATCCTCTCAGATGGTCCTTAGTGGGACTTGTTCGGAGTGTTGTGGGGCTTATGTTTGGGTGCATGAAGATGGCGCCGGAACCTGGGTTGAACGAGGTGGGCATACACACAGCCGCGCTTCAGTACGAATGTGCTTGGTTGTTTGTTGGACAGGGAAGACCGCGATCTTTGCAAGTTTCCTTCAGCACACTCCATTCACCATCTTCGGCCGAGAAACTCGGTCAGATGCCCTTGGCTCCCTTCTGCAATAAAAAACAACTTGAGCTGGCATGAACCACCCCTCCAAATATTGTGCCGAGGATTCAAAGACAAACCAAAAGCAGACCAACCTGGAGGGGGTCCCTTCCAAAGACTGGGACGATGATTCAAAAGACAAAGAACCAACCACCCAAAACAACACAGTTATTGGAAGAGAACCAGCCACGGCAAAGCAACTTCGACGGGTCCCACGCAGAGCACCGCAGGCCACCAGTCAGTTTCTGCAACGTTGGAGTGGCCCGCCCAGGCGCGCGATGCGCGGCCTGCTCTGGGAATCCATCGGTTTGTTTTTTGTGTTTTTCTCACTTATCTGGAGGCTGTGCCGCCGTTTTCAGGCACCCTTTTGTTGGTTCCCTTGGAACAAAAGTGGGCTTTACTGGGCATCTTTTGTTGGTTCCTTTTGAAAAAGTTGGTTTCCTGGGTACCTTTTGTTGGTTGCTATGGCACAGTTGGTTTGCTCTGTTGGCGAGATTGACGGGAAGCCAAAGGTAAACCAACAGCTATTTGGTGGGGTGGGGTCCCACGTTTTGAGACATTGATGGGTCCACGACAAGGAAAGAACGAAAAAGCCCTGAACAACGAGAAAATTTGTCCTTCGTAGCTTCCTGGTTTGTGTAAACAAGTTCACAGATCCTCTATTGTTCCATTCTGTTTACATTCCGCTGCAAACCATTTTCAAAGATTCAAACTATTTTGACATTCTGTTGTTGACATTCTGTTGCAAACAACATGGATCTGCGCTGCGAGCCAGGGAATGAGGGGGGCCTGCTAGGCCATTGGAGTGGGTGGACAGCTGCGAGGGTTTCGCCTGCGGCGAAGGGTGCGAGGAGACGGTGGACTTCGTTTGAGCTCCGCGCGGGTTAAGGGCGAGGTTTCGACGAGAGTGTTGGCTTGGAGTTTTTTTGCAGCCAGTTCGAAAGTTTCGAGCGGTGATTACTTCGGGAAGAAGATGGTTCTTTCCGTTTTCGGCCAAATTGTGTAGCTCGCAGAGGAAGATGAGGTTCTCAAAGCGCGAAGATGCAACAAGCATCCGTGCCTCGAATGTCGCTTGGCAGAGTGCGGTATCGGAAAAGGAGAGTATGCGTGCAGCTCCTTCCCAGTCTTGGCGGATTGAATTCAAGTGCGCATCGTGAACCTCTTCTATTAAACGGTTCTAAGTCTATCTTTGAACGGGGGGCAAACGGTAACCCACGCATCTCTGACGCGCTTAAACAGTTCGATCGTTTGCCACAGAAGGGAAACATAGCGACCTGACTAGATTCGCCTGGCGGGCAAACTGTAAGCTTCCTCCTGTTTGGTAGCCTTGAGTTAAGAAAATCATTACCAGTCATGTCCGCATACAGTGTTGACATACAGTGTTGCAGACTACGAATCCATACAGGGCAAGAAAAGGGCAATTTTGTGCTGTTCCCGTTGCCAAATAAGGCAAAGCTTCCCTTGAATAGATTCGAGGCTTGACGTGACTTCTGCCTCTGTGGCCGCGCTTGCCGCTGTGCAACAGTTGGACGTTTGGGGTCAGATTTGCTGGGTGTCCGCTTTTGACAGCTTGGATAGTTTGCAGTGGCTCTTCATACGGCAGAGGCCGCCCCTACGTTAGTACCGGCTTGAAGACACTTCTCAACCATGTTCAGCAAGAAGCACAGTTTTGCTATTTCTCGCCAGCTTGTTTGGCAGAAACAAGCCAGCCGTATCATAAACGGCCACAACACAATAGAAGCAGCACTCAGAGTAAGAGAAGCAGGATGGCGCAGCAAGAACCAGATTGAAAAACAACAGGCTACTCACACCAAGCAGCATAGATTCTGGGGAACCTTGCACGGAGGAGAAGCTCAGGGCAGGGGGAGTTGGGAGAAGGCATCTTTAAGGTCAGTTAGTTTGCTTGAAACTAAGTGGCACATTTATTTTTCAGTTTGATTCCCATCATGTGCGAGATGAATCCATCGATTCTGCAATAGAAACACCCTGTCTACCAAAATGAGGTTGTTCTTCAAAGGAAAATCTGTTGTGACCCTTCGTGACCCCCAAGGTGGCACCGGTTGGATCGGTTGCAGGTTCTGGTGGCTGCTTCCTGGCCTGCTGGGCGTAGGCCTCGAGTGATGGGGGGACGGCGTGGGTGGTCAAACAGTACCCGTGGTCCATGATTCATTTGGGAGGGACATGGACAAACTTACGAAATTTCCCACGCAGGGGGGGGGTCCACGAATTTTGCCACACCTCTGGGGGGCTGTTGCAGCAAGTAGCTTCGCCATCTGCGCCCTGGTCCACACTGCCACGGAGGTTTGGGGCTGGCTTCTTTGAGACGGTGGGATCCGAGTTTGCTTCGCTTTCCATCGCGGTCTGGTAGCTCAGGAGAACTGCCACTGGGATGACTGGGAACATATCATATCAAGCCGCCCTTGGAGCTGCGATTCACCATGCCTGGTTTTTTCGCAGCACATGGGATGTGCAGAGATTGGGTCCTGGAGGGCATGTCGGGGTGGAAGGCCTTGCCGATCCGTTCCGCAATCCTTTTGCCGCGCATCGGCCGTGTCAGACCATTTGGAATGGATAGGACCCCCCCGCCAGATTGGTTGGTGAACATGAATCCCCATGCAAACGATGTCCCCAGAGGGCCCCCGGTCACATTACAATTCATACCCATAGAGAGGTCAGGTTCCTACAAAAACTGCCGGAGTGCATGCTACTAGGTTGAAAGCCGCACGAATGGCAACGGGTCAACAGCATACTTGAGCACACCAGGAGTTGTTTTCAGGTTTGGGCCAACCGCCTGCTTAATCAAAGATCCTCCTGGCCGTTCTTTGTCGCGGCCAGTAGTCTGGTTCTTCAACCAGATTTTCCGCCGCCCTGGTGTTGCCAGGTCTTTTGTTGCTGTCGTGGGCAGCAAGTCGCCGGCGGCTTAGAGGTCTGATTCTCAACATGTTTAACTTCTTGGCATGTTGGTTTTGTTTTTCTTTCAAGCAGCAAAGGTAAAGCATTTTGCAAGGGCCGGGAACGGCTTCGGGACGCAGGGTGAAGAATCCGAGAATCTGACTTTTTCCGGGGGGTGGGGGGTTCTTGCGGTGCAGCCAAGCACACGTGAAAACTTAGTCCGCTTGTGCAACTGCAGTAGTTTGTATCCCCCGGGTTTGGTGCTGCAGACTGCGTCATTCCGTGCTCTTGGCACAGGGTTCCAGTGGGCCAGCGGGGAGTTCTGATGCGTCGGAGCCCGCCGCGATCTTGGCTCAGCTTCGGAGAAGCGGCACAGCTGATTGTGAAGCGGGAGAGTCTTGCACCACTCAAGTGCCCAAGTCCGACCTTTAGCTTTGCCGATTCTGTTGAATTTTTGATCATGGCTCTAAAAGGTGAACCTTTTTCTGGGAGGGAACTGAGACCAGGATTGAGCGAGTTGCCCGCGAAGTCGCCAGCATAGGGTTCTTGAGTGCTCGAGGATTATTCATCAAGCTTGCCGGCAAACAGCATGGTGTCTGACCCCTGAGCATCACACAGACGCCAGACGTCCAAACATGCATTCCGAATCGGGTCCTTGCTGGACACCTGTTCCCACGAGTCACGAAACAGGCCAGCCGGGGCGTCAGCCATCCCAACCGCCACGTCTCCTTTGCCTAACGCTTCCGGTCTGCCCTGGGGACGCGACAGCGTTTGCCGATCGAGGCGAGGGACGGGGTGTGGCAGGACAAGACGTGAGGGCTGGTCTGGTCCAGGTCTCAATGAAACCAGGTTCAAATGATCTGTGTTTCCTCTACAACGCAGGCTGGTTTCCCTTGGAGCGGCAATTTTGCATTTGCAAACGCTTGACCTTGACGCAAAGCGCCATCCATAAACCGGTTTCACTGCCGGGCCCATCACCGCCCTGACATGTGAGGCTTGCCCGGAAGGTGCCTTCCTCAGGTGTTACGCCGAATTTTGTTGGGAGGATGGCCTAATATGCGTCCTTTCTGGTTTCAGTTCCGGTTTCAGTTCTAGTTTCAGTTCTGGTTTCAGCTTGATGGGTTCTACTGGTGAATCAGTTTGGTTCTGGTTTCCTTTGCCAGACTCCATTGATCGTGTAAAAGGTCGGGTCAAGAAGGTTCCCTTGAACGCACAACACGCGAAGAAGGGCCCGCCTGTTTTGCCACCACGTAGATCTGTTCTAAAGGACAGCTTTTGGGGAGGCGCGTTGCCTGTTCCGTGCATTGGAAGGATATCAAACGAGAAGAGGCAAGAGGTAGGTGTGTAGAAATTCAGCAGGTTTTCCCTTGTGGTTCCCCTGTAGCACCCCCTAAAAGGGGATAGCCTCAAACACACATCCTGTTTTTTGGGGAAAGGGGGACCCTCCAGAGCCTTTTTGAGTCGGTCCGGGGTGGCGATGTGCTTGCCAGGCTGATGGGTGACCCTCGGAAGGTGTTCTTCGAGGCTCAGCAGGCGGGCTTTTTGAATGGATTTGTTGAATCCAAGGGCAGATGTCCATTTTTGACTTCCTCCAGGATAGCATTTAAACTTTTAAACCCCAACTTCGACTGGATTCCCTTGTAAAGCAGGTGCTCCTTTTTTGTTTTCCCTCAGAATCGCTGGAGGGAAATCTCGAGTATGTCACTTTGGTGGACCGAGTCGAAACAGATTAACATAGGACCCAAGCCTCATTTCCAGAGGAATCTCCATTTGGTGGACCTTGTGTTTGAGTTCCATATTAATTGTAAACAGAATCCATGAGGCTGCCCACTGAAAGAAGGGAGTCCCTTCTTCAAACTGTGTCATGGATTTCAGTTGTTCAGTGGCACCCTTTTTCCCTTTTTTGGCTGCCCCACCAAAAAAGGTGCTCCCCAAAAAGGGTTCCCTTTTTTCCAGGGTCACTGAACAACTGAGGGATGGTCAAGTGCCTCCGTTTGATTCGGCGCATAATCCAAAAGGCCCACCCTCTCCGGCCGAGGGCCTCCAAGGAGAGAGCCACTCGGAAAGGAAGTCTGGGTGTTGGGCCTCCCCTGTTCTAACAAGCAAACCAGCACCATGCTCCGCGGTTTTTCTGGGGCCATCGCTTTGAAACAAATGGAGGGGGCAATATAGGGGCTTATATAACAACCGGCCGGCCCTTGATTTGGTGCCAGGGGTATATCCCCGGTACATCTCTTGCTATCCAGATATTTGCTGTCAGGCTTCTGACTCACCTGCAAACCTCCAAAAGCCCATTCGACCACTTCAGATTAAACTTGAGTAACCCTCATACAATAACATGGCATTTGTGGGAGGATGCCTGGAAGATCAGACCCTCTGTCAGGTACCATGTTCGTGGAAGGGAGGGTATCCCTTTTATCAGGGGGGTCTTTTGGCCACCTGTTGTGGAACAATGATCGACTTTTTCGTAGTGAGGGCTTCCTTTTTGAGGGGGTCGCCAATTTTCTCCGCCAAAGGTGGCAAAAAGACGCCCGAACACACATGGCCATGGTTCAACAATGGGATCCCAAAAAGGGATAGGTGAATTCACCACCCATTTTTTTCCACCTATTTTAGCGGTTGGATTGGGATGTTCACTGGGGGCCAACCGGGCTTTTGGTTTTGCCCCATGGCCACATGGCACCAGAACCACCCACCACGAGAGCCAACGAGAGGCCATCCAGAGCAACCTGGGCCACGCCGCCAGCACCACCACGGCGGGCCTGGCGCAGCAGGCCGTTGAACCTAGGGAGCCGTTTGTCGGATGTTCCCCATGGTTTTGTCGGAATGGCCCTAAAAAAAAACACACACAATTTGGCACACCGGGACATAGTTTCCGCAGTTTTCTTTGATTTTCCTCTGGTTTTTCAGGTACTTTGGCGCTACTGGACATATTTGCTCACTTTTTTCTTTGATATTTCTGGGTTTTTTCAGGGACTCTAGCGCTGCTGGACAAATTGCTTCTGCAATTCTTCCAGGGGACTGAAGCAAATGGAGGTAAAGTGATGCCCAGGTAATGCCAAAGAGGTGACCAGTCATTTTGTTGGTTTTCAGGGTACACCGTGCTTAGGGTTGCTTCCCCGAAATTCCTCTTGACCAAAAAAAGGTGACTCTCTCTTTTTTCGTGACTCCCTTTTTTGGGTGGCTGAGGGGAATACCTAGAGACTCCAAAACCTGTCAATTTGTCGTGCCCTGGTAGAAATGTTGTTTTGTTTTTTTTGTGGGGGGGCGTATGACATGTTTTTGGGTTTTTGGGTCTCCTGGTAGGTTAAACACCCAGCAGTTGGGGCGTCGCCCGCATGTCGTCTCTGCGCCATCGCCCTGGAGGTCTTCGACTTCGAGCTGCCGGTGATACCACCCGGCGCCCGGGCCTCGGAGCGCAAACCAAGGGCAGACCCTGGCGTTCGAACCACCAAAACAAGGACCTGGCGATATGTACATAAACAAAATATGGTACCTGATCCCCAAAAGGCAGTAAAACCAAGGTCCATGGGTGTGTGTCCATGGGTGTGTGTATGTATATATATATATATATATACATGTACATGTATATATATATATATATATATATATATATATATATGTATGTTCACCATTGCTTACCTAAGGATTGTCCTCATCCAAGTTCAACCAGTCATTTCATGGGGGTTGAGCCCCGGGGCAGAGCCAAACAAAAATGTTGATGTTGTTTCTGACAAGACTGGTAGACAAGACATGGGACTTTTTATGGCAATCATGAGTCCAGAAAAGTTCCCTGAGGTCTACCTGGTACCCCACAGTCTGGTGTTTCAACACGGACGTACCGAGAAGTGCCCGTGGCAACATGTCCCATTGTGCCTCCTTCTTGCACACCAACGGTGCGGTTCGTGGAGAGCGTAATGACAATCTGCTGCCCAAAAACATCCATTGCTGCTGTGGCAGCTCAACAAGATCTTGATGGCACATTCAGTGCTGCGACCTTCCCATGGAAATGGCAAGAACGGCCATGTGCTGCGCAGCGCTCTTTGCCTGGCATGGATCCTGCGCACTTCTTCAGCGATTTACCCGCACGAGACCAAGCCAGGACGCT